GGACCGGGGCTGGGGTTGGCACTGGTTGGGCGGCTGCTTCTGGGCAGAAGGGGGGAAAAAATGGGGTGAAACTCAAATGCGAGCGGATGAAATGAAGGCAGAACAAAAGTAACTTGTGGTGCACTTGTTGCTTAGGAGAAAGAGGGCGTGATGTAGCCCAGAAAAATCCACTCATGGGTTATTTCATGTTATGGTGGGAATATGCTCAGTACATCACAGATCAGGTAAAATCAGTGCGTATGTGTTACTGATGGTGTGTGGTTTATAAAGTCAGTAAAATTCCTTGTGAGAACAAGAATGTTGACTATAGCATAGTAAAGCTTGACAAAAATGTGTTTTGCCATATGCCTCAGATATCTGGAAGCCGAATAAACCATTCAGCACAGCTTTTGGTTTGGTGTCTGAGAAGTAAATCTAAGGAAGACCTTTGGTGTGGCTGAAAAATTTCCCTGTAATGTAGCACCTGGTCGTGGTCATTCATAAGATCATGTCTTCAGCCTTCCCTACTATAAGAACTGTGTCAAAAGGACAGTGAGAAAGTAAGCAGAGACTTAAAGAGGGAGGAGGATGTAAAAAAGGCTTTTTATCAAGTACAGTTAATGGCAATCTGTATCAAATCTTTAAAAAGACTTTTTCAATTTACAGCTCTAAAATTTAATTTCCTTTAGATGAGTATGTTCGGATAATTTAAAATCTTGGCTATCCATTAATATAAAGCACAAAATAAAATACAAAATATGCACAAAATATCTGTCTCGCAGAGAATATTCTTTGGGGAGGTGGCGAAAGGGAAGCTAATTGCTATGGGCTCCAAAAGGAGTGATCTTTAACCAGAAGGCACAAAGATATCTATCTAAATAAGGGCTTTGGAGTATCCCTGTGCTTGTGTAATTTTAATTAAGGCTTGAGTCAGATTGATGGCAAGTCAGTTAATGATTTGCACAATTAATAACAAGCATCAATGCAATATTAATTCCCCTCTCACCCTCCAGAAAGCTCAAGGAAAAGTGTCAGATTTGATTAGAGCTGAGTTACTGATACAGAATAAAATGAAAGTGAAGGTGCAGCTGTTGGGGGAGAGGAATTGTTTTTGCGTTACCATTTTTCTCTTGTATTGCACCAAAATAGTTGCTGCATTAACATAGACCTGTTTTCAGTCTGTTTTTTAATTGAAAGCAAAAGATTAATGTTGGTTTAGGGTCAAAGATTTAAGTGGTGTGCGTTTGGCTGTGGAGGTATCTGAATTGCTCTTCTGCAACTTTTTCAAATTTTCTAAACTAGAAGTCATTTTTGGAACTTAATGTAAGAACACGCTGTGTTTTGTTGTGTTTTCTTCATTGTTCCCTTAAACATATTACTTTATAAATGTTGTTACCTGATCCTAAACACAATGTTAGTTGAACTAACAAAGTACAAAATAAGACCATTAGTCTTCAATGCATATGGTTTGTCCTCGTCATGCATCTTATTATATTGCATGCAACTACGCCAAATCTCATAAGCTGATCTTGTTTTAAGTCAATGATCCTGAATGTGGAATCAAGCCAACATGCTGCCTATAAGCCATGTACATAAAGCATCCCAACAATTTTTGCCTGCAGAGACCACCATCAAACTCTATTTGTAATGGAGACTTCTTTGCATCCAGCTGCTTCTACAGCAGTATTGCAGGAATAGGATTTGGCTCACATGACTGGCGACCTCTGCACTTGAGGAAACAGCCAATAGCCTATATGGAATTGTGGAGTTATTAGCTGCTTCTTTTCTGTTTGAAGCACCCTTGCTCAGTGCCTGTCCCTGGCTCTTGTGATCCTGGTCTGATGCTTGCTGAAGCGAGCTGCGAGACCTGAAGTGCTGCTCAGCAGAACCTGGATTGGCCCCTGTCATCTACTTGCAGCAGAGAATTTGATGCCTGGGCTCAAGCTGATGGAGTGGCTTTGCTGGATCAGAAACAGTGTTGTCCAGGCTCATCATATAGTGACGACTCATTAGAGGTGGGGAGCCGCTCAGAAATTCAGGTATTTTCACTAGCATCAGTAACCTTGGAGCAAGACCTCTTCCATGGGATACCACCCCGACGCCCTGAAGAGCTCATGTCTAGGAACCTGCTTGAAACCTTTCTTAGAGCAGCATCAAATATCTGCCTTGTTGTAAACCATTCGATTTAAATTAAAACTAATTTCATTATTTTGTTAGGCAGATTACCTTCTTAATGTGGACGCCACATGGGAACATTTTAATAAAAGATAAGTAAAACCTGGGTTTTATTTTTAAATCTATCTATTATAGATAGAAATACTTAGCTGTTCAGCATTAGCCATTTTAAAGAGGTTAGAGTTGGAGAGACTGTAGACGGGAATCAACAGAACTGCTGCATTTTTGTTTTTGCTCTTTCCATCCATGAAAATGTCATCAAATCATCATATTTTTAAAAGCTGTGTCAGATCAAAATATAATTCCAAATAAAATATTGTGCCTTCATTGTTCCTCTCCTCTTTCTCACTGGCTCCTTCACAAACTTAACCTTTTTTGTTTCTTTTTGCAAGATTTGAAGACATATGAGACACAGCCTCTGCTTGTAAACGTTGTATTTTTTCTTTACTTTGCATTTTCCACATTCTTAACAGTTTCAGTATTATCTCTATTTATGGCTTGGCTATAGGTATCTGAGAATACGGTCTGTGATATCGACTGATTTCAACATGGTCAGGAATGTGATCACTAGTAGAGGTACAAACCCACATGTCCTACAGTGTTGAACGTCTGAAAATTTTTAGTGTGTGATCTGTGTGATTATGATAAAGGTTTGGCATGTGAATTAGGGGTCTTGACAGGTGGTTCTGTCTCTATAGTCAACAGATTCCGGTCAGTGTGATATTTTAACTCCCTAGGTTTTGTCTCCTTTCTCTGTAAAAGCAGTGCTTTACAGTTATGTAGCAAGGGAAAGGCAATGATTTACTAAATCCTCATTCATCTTTTTCTACCTTTATCCAGTGGGGTTTGGATTATTCCCTTTACCAATGTTCACCGAATTTGCTAACAAGTACTTTGTTCAACTTTATTATTTCTGTTGACATCTTATAACTCCTCCCCATAAAATACCAATACTAATTATAACCTATAACTTTGAAATGTTTTCTGCATCCTGGAGAATGACTAAAGATGTCTGTAAAATCATTCAACTGAAAAAAGAAATCTCAGTATTTTATCCTCAGCTCTCACAGATTCTATGTGTGCCTAACTTTATGCCTGTTACCGTGTAATAATTTAGTTGTTAGCTTTCCATTTGTGGTGGATCAAAGCACAATATTACACAATCTTACAGAAACGTAAAACTTCACACTTTCTGCACTATTATCCATTCAAAAAACCCTTTTTGTTTGCATTTAGTTAAATAAATCAAATTACATGATGATTGAAGATAATAAAGAGAATGAAGACCATGCATCTGAAAGAGGAAGAACAGCCATCATTTTTTCCTTGAAGAATGAAGTCGGAGGACTTGTAAAAGCATTAAAACTCTTTCAGGTATGTAGTGATCGCATTGCTACAGCAGCTCTGTATTTTTAAATTGTACGGAAAGTTTTGGACACATCAGAATTAATTACATCAATTTATTAAGAATGTGATTCCTAACCTGGCTCCCACTTTGCATCCGAAATTACCCACAAAGGCAAATTTATGCCTCAGAAATTAGATGCCGGTTGGCTAAAAATCTTCACAAAATGTATCATCTGCACTGACTAAAGTTTGAGAGAGTTTTGTCTTTTCCCCCCACGAAAGAGGATATTGTTTTTACTGCATATAAGAGGTGGGTCTGGAGCTCCTGCTGATGGCAGGTAGACTCTTGAGGTGCTGACCCGTGCCGAGTTGAGTCCAGTGCCCTTGTCACCCTGGCTAGCCAGACTGAGGGTGACAGAGGAACTGCCATTGCCCACCTGCATTCCTTCCACTGCAAGGCATATGCGCAGTGCTACTGCCATCCGACCCTGCGTGTCTTAGCCTGGGGTTTTCTCTGTGTTCCTCATATAAGACACATGATTAAATAATTTTTCAAATAAAAGAAAAGTTAAATTTACACCCTGAAAATGACTGCTTTTAAATGCCTTGCTTGCTTGTGAGGTAATTACATGGTGACTTGATTGGCATTTTGCTGAATTTCCCCAGACCCAGTTGCTAATCAGCTTCCTATGGGAGGGATGAAAGAAAAAGGTCTATGAATTTAAACCTCCTGACTGTGCCTTTCTGTGCTTCCTGAATGAAATCGAAAGACACAGGTTCTCTTTCATTTTCTTCTGAATGGGAGGTTTTTTAAAATCAAACTATTTCCCCCCTTCCAATAAGGAAAATTTTGTCAAGAGATCCAGTTAACTAAAATAGCTTCACAAAGGCTGTGAATAATCCATGGCTGTAGACTATTAATTCAAAAAACAAATTTTAGTGTTTAAACTGCTTTTAGGCAGTCTGTTTGAAAACATTACTTCTTATAAAACAGGAGAAGCATGTAAATCTGGTACACATTGAGTCACGGAAGTCCAAGAGACGAAATTCTGAGTTTGAGATCTTTGTGGACTGTGACAGTAACAGGGAACAACTGAATGAGATTTTCCACCTCCTGAAATCTCATGTCAACGTTGTCTCTATGAACCCGACAGAGCATTTCAACGTCCAGGAAGATGGTAAGTACAGAATGCAGTTCTGTTGAAAATGCAGTTTTCAGGGTGTTGGTTTGAAATCTTTTTGTGGTGTCCACAATTGTATTTGTGTAGTGTTTTCAATCAGTAGCTACCATGTTTATGCTTCTGTATTGTGAATTTGGTCAGTATGAGTAGGCTGTGTTGGCTGGTGTCACCTAGGAGGAATACAGGCTGTTTCAGGCGGGTGCAAGTTGTTCATTATCTGTGCTCCCATCCCTTCCCAGTACAGCACAACTTGCATTGATGGGAGTTCCAGCACCCGTGCAGGCCACCGCAGGCCAGCACGTAGGCAAAGTCTGAATGCAGGGCTTGGCTAGTGACTCTACACCATGGTGACAGAGGTATAATACTGACAGATCCCGGTTCAGTTCAGACATTGGTGAGAACGGGAGATGGGTTCTGCTATTTCCTCATGTCACTCGTGATTTAAATTTTTCTTAAGCACTTTTCATCATAACTGGTTACTTGTATTAATGTGGAAGAGGTGCCTTTTAACTTTAGGATGCTTCACATCCTGTTTACCTTTGCTTCTAGTTAAAGAGGTGCCTGAAGTTCAGGGCATCAGGAAGTCTGTCCCATATATTTCTCAGCCACTGTGTTTGGCACAGGCTGGTAGGTAGGGGAAGGTGAGACCTGGTGTTCTTGGATAAATATAGTTTGCTTTAGCCCTAAGTAAAGGGAATTTCAATCTAAACACTCCCTCAAACCTTTTTAAGAAAATTGAAGAGCATCGGGGCAGAGAAGCCATGCCAAGAGCTTTGTTAAAATCTCTCTTAGGCTATAAAAGAAGTAGTCAGTAGGAAAACTGTAATGAAGCATCTCTAAAAGGCTGTAAAGCTGCAGGGCCTCCTTCTCCTTTTCCCTCACAAACTCATCAGCAAAGCTGAATGCTTCTGAGGTACATAACCACAGAACAATGTTTATTTCCCATGGTCAGTGAAGCAGGATGGGAGGACTCAAACCCACTCCCACTCTGCCTGGGGACCGCAGGCAAGTCACTTCTCTACTCTTGCACACTTTGTATCCTAGAAGATTCACAGCAGTTCCAACAAGGAGGCCATGTCTCAGTGGGAGCCTCTAGATGCTCCTTTAACTGTAATGACAGTTAAGGGCCACAGAAACCCCATATTAACTGTTTCCTCCCCTGGATGCTCTGGAGCTGGCTGTGCTCAGAAGGCAGACGGTGGCAGTGACAGAGGAGGAAGTGTGAGCTGTAGGCTGGTGCCAGATAGGCAGTGAACTCCCTTGTCTTATTCATGCCCTTTTAATTTATAGATTTTGCTTGTAACCGCCATAGCCATACTTGAAAGTAGCGTTTCCTCCCTCAGCATGCTCGGCGTTATTAATAACTTTGTGGATTCCATGCGTTCCCTAGACATGGAGAATGTTCCCTGGTTTCCAAAGAAGATCTCAGATTTGGATAAGTGTGCAAACAGAGTGCTGATGTATGGGTCCGATTTGGATGCTGACCATCCAGTAAGTATTTTTTCCTCCCTATACCTTATTCTTAGTGAAAACATGCTTTGTGGAGCTTACTTTTAAAAATTGCAGCGTTTCGTCCTCCCTCTCCTTCCCCTCAACAGTGTCTCTGTGGGTCTGAGCACCTTCTCTTGGGGGTTTCACACTTTTTCCTAGTTCAGGCAAGGCTGTCACTGAATTCAGCTCCTGTGCCTTTCTACAAGACTTACTTGTTGTGCAAGGGCTCCAGGTCTGGGCCCCGAGTGGTCTCATACAAATAATTAAAAAAAAAAGCTATTGTGACTCAGGTTTGGTTCCTTCTCTTTCTTTCTTCCTTACTATAATTGGAGCCAACAAATTGGTACTTGGACAGTGTAAATGGGCAATTTGTTCTGTAATTTAGAATAATCAAGCAAGTAACAAAGTTTGTATAAATACTGATATGACTAAAATGAATCCTTGCATACTGAATACAGAGTTGCATGCATAAACCTACTGACTCTTGCTTTGAATTGGAGTATTGGCTTAGTTCACAGTTATCGAACATTTCAGACTACAGCTGTGAAGTTCGTGCCCTGTCCTCTCATTTACACAGCATACTTTTATATTTCCCAACTGAAGAAATTTCAAGCGCCCTGTTTTAAATTAATTTATTTACTACAGCTTGGAAACACATTTAGCTTTTTCTCCTTCCTCCTGACAGGGTTTCAAAGACAATGTCTATCGCAAGAGGCGAAAGTATTTTGCAGACCTGGCTATGAACTACAAACAGTAAGTTGACTTCTTGCAGAATAAGCCTTCTGGGTGCCTTGAAATAACACCAGAGTGGGCTGGCAGGAGCTCACCTTCTCTGGGCTCTGATCTCATTGAGATATGCTTGGCTCAGGCATCAGAGCTGGAGGGGTAAAAGGAGGGGAGATGTAAGACAAGATTAGAAGATAGATCTAGGCCATCTTACAGCTCTGTGGGCCTCTGATCTGTCTGAGGCCGTGGTTGCTTGGCTGTTATGGTGTCTGCAGCAGTGCTGATCCTCAGATGGGCAGTGATGCCAGCGTGGCCTTCCTGCAGCATGGTGCATTTGGATTCTGCGGTCCCTCCCCACTTCTCTGGAAATAGGTGCCACAAAGGAAGAGGGTGGACAACACGTGTTGCACAGCTGCTTGTGCCAGGACGTGCTGACTTTACTAGGGCAGGTTGGTCTCCTCCACCAAGGAGGGAGAGGGGAGTCACAACCCAGTATATAGCCCATTCACCACTGAGTGTAAGCTATCTGGGAAAGTGTTAATACTTGAATGTTCTTTCCTGGTTCAAACTAGTGAATGTGATGTGTAGATAAGAAGTTTTCTGTGAAAAGAAATTCAAAGAGCTTATGTCTTTAGAGATGCTGATTGGGGGAGGGAGCTCTTAAAGCAGTAAGAGTTTCTTAGCCCAGTGCTGTAAATTCTAAACATGATTTTCATGTTGCTGTTGCCTGCTTGAATTAAGATGTCAGGTTCCTCAATTGGAAATGACCTAGAGATGGTGGGTCTCTAGAGCTCTGTTGCACTGTGTGTTAATGCAACTGGTTACCACAGCACAGAGCTGGTTACTGTTAGTGTGTTGTTAACAGATTCCCTAGGGAAAGCATTTGCCATGCTGGTTACCTGGCTGGCAGTGGAAGCTCAGTGTAACACTCCCATTGCATTTAGTGGGCTTTAGGTCACACCCTTGCTATAATCCACTTTAATCAAGATCCTGAGGGCTAAATAGGAGATATAGACTACAACTAATATGTTCAGACAGATGCCTGTCTCCTATGCATAGAAGTGTGATTTTTACCTAATGTGTATATTTAGCTGCTTCCATGCAATGTGTTGTTAATTTAGGGAATTCTCTTTTTCCAAAACAAATCAAAAAGGTAATGGAGAATAATTGCAGACAGGAAAGTCCAACAGGGAAAAAGGATGTGTTTGCAGCTCCTGAAACTGTAAAGGATATGCAGGTATTTTAAATGTTACTCTCAGCATTAAACACCTAAGCAGCTGCTTACAGAACTGAAGCTTTCAGGCTCCAGTGAGGTCAATGCAAGGATTTAGGCAGAGAACAGAGCAAGCCCTTAGACTAAAAGCTCCCCAGGGCATAGACCAGATCTCACGGTATATTTGACAGTGCCTAATGCACCTGACCAGGTGTCACAGCCGTATAGATGTTGAATAATAATAGTAGGCAAATGAGTCATCCATTATTAGCCATTTAACAAGGCATGTTCTTTCTCCCTCTTCTCCTTGTAGTGGTGACCCGATTCCCAAGATTGAATTCACTGAGGAGGAGATCAAGACTTGGGGAACTGTGTACCGAGAGCTTAACAAGCTTTACCCAACTCATGCCTGCAGAGAGTACCTTAAAAACTTGCCCTTGCTCACCAAATACTGTGGGTACAGGGAAGACAATATCCCCCAGTTGGAAGATGTGTCCCGCTTCCTGAAAGGTAACGAGCTAATTTTCTTATAGAGAAAGCAACTAAGGTCCATTGGAAATCACATCCTTGGTCACTTTTGCTGGTATTCATTCTGGTCCTTTAAGAGCTCTTTTGGCCATCCATGTTTTAATATACTGTTTCTTGAATATATACAAACAGTAATGTTTGAGGGGCCATGCTACCTCTGAAAAGACTGTTAGAGTTGGCTAAAGAAATACCTAGCTGTATTATGTTAGCTCTAGGCATGAAATCATAGGAAATCCACTCACACAGGTAGGGACATTTTTACTAAATGTTGGTCATTCTCAAACTTAGGTCTAATTTTTCTAATCATGCCTGAATTTCCCATGTGCTCTTGAGCCAGGGTAGTGCTGTGGCTTTTGCTCCAGTTGTAACAGGAAAGGTGACAACATTGTGCAGTTCTACACTAAACTAATGTACAATTTCTCTGTTCCTTTTCAGAGCGCACAGGTTTCACCATTCGCCCCGTTGCTGGCTATCTGTCACCCAGAGACTTCTTGGCAGGATTAGCATTCAGAGTATTTCACTGCACTCAGTATGTTAGACACAGCTCGGACCCTCTCTATACACCAGAGCCGTGAGTCATTTAATCTTGGGGTAGAATTTAGGAGAGAGTTTTAAATCTCACTGCCCAGAGTCAAGCTACTTAAAAGCTATTCAAGAACACCAGCAAGAAAACTTATTTTTAAGGTGCTGAAGACTCAGCCTTCAAGCTGAATGTAATGAAGTTTTAGCATGCTCAAGTGCCACCTTCATACAATAAATGCAGGATTTTCAAAAGTAGAGCATGTAGTTGGAGAGCTCTTGCTGAGATCTTTGTGTGCAGAGTTAGTTTAATGTTTGGTTGCCTCATAAATGTGGAGCTCAGACCCTTAATTTTAGGCAGCTTAATTTGAAAATCTGAGTTTATGTACTTAAATAGAAGAGGTATGACCTGCTCAGTTGCTTTCAGCTAAAAATGGTGGACACTTTCCTGTCTTTTGGATATTAAATAATTCAACTCAAGACATTGTTCAGTGGTGCTGCTTGTTCACTCTACCAGAAAAACAGATAATGAGATTTCTTGTTTTGTTTCTTTTCCCAGCGATACCTGCCATGAGCTCCTAGGGCATGTCCCTCTTTTGGCTGAACCCAGTTTTGCTCAGTTCTCCCAGGAAATTGGTCTTGCATCACTTGGCGCATCAGATGAGGCTGTCCAAAAACTGGCAACAGTGAGTGTTTGTATGCTGGTGATCCTGTTGAAAGCTTCGTGCTTTACTAGCCTGATCCCACTCCATGATATAAATTTGGAGCTTTATGTCAACATTAGCCACATCAGCTGCTAGACTTAAGTGTTTCACTGGTCCTTGGCTTTTAGGGCGTATAACAATTTTCCATGCTAGGAAAAAAATACATTTTAAGGTTGATATGATTGGTATTTTTCTTCACTTGGCTGTCAAGTAAGGGTGCAACTTCTAGGGGTAGATCAGTTCTTCCAGATTGAAATTCTACAATCTGTTCTTTACAGGCAAAATCTTCTTACTTCTGGTAGCATGATTCAATGATTTTAAAAGCAATCTATTTCTTTAATGTGTAGAATGAATGTCAGTGATATGGTGTTTTCATTGAATGTGGTGAATGCTAGCATTAGATACTTTTCAGCCAGGAAATTCAAATATTATAAATTAATCTTATTTCCTGGATATCAGTTTCTAGATGATTTGGTAAATATATTTTAAGATGAAAATTAAATTTGGATGAAACAAAATTTATGCCGGTTATGAAATAACTGGTTTGCTGATTTTAAAAAACAATTTTTCCCCCACCTGGTATAGCTAGTGGTAAAATATCTACTGCCTTCAGTGGGAGCAGAACTAAGCCATCTATGAAAATAACGTTCCTTCCCATATACTTGCAGATATCCCAAAATCCAGCAAGCTAAATATCTTTAATTTTACAATCCACTAAGCAAAAGAGAAACAAACTGTAGTGGGCTGATGTTTTGACTGAGTCACAGAGACCTTCTCTATCCAGTGTTTCTTTTAAGCTGAAGCTGTCATGTCATGACAGTATTTCTCAAAACAGATTTACATCTCAGTGTTCCTACTGACATTAACAGCTTCTAGCTTAGCTGGGTGAGCTACAATATCAGTCTTTCTTATGACAAACATGCAATCCTGTGGTTCTTCACCCTTACATTTTGTCTTCCCTCCTCTTTAAATATTGGAGAAGGATAACCAGCTAATGACTGTCTGATATTTGCAACTGTCTGACACTACCTACAAATAGAAATGCCCCCATCTAGTTCCCCACAGCATCTTTACAGAAGGCTGAATTATTTTACTCCCTTCTCTGTTTCAGTGCTACTTCTTCACCGTAGAGTTTGGCTTGTGCAAGCAAGAGGGACAGCTACGAGTTTATGGGGCTGGCTTGCTCTCTTCGATTAGTGAGCTCAAGGTAAGAATATCTACTGCTGATTTACCTCTTCTTTTTGTACCTGATTATTATTGTCACTGTTTTACCCTGTTTTTTATTGAGTATAATTCTAAAAACTTTTTTTTTTTTTAAAAACCCTCCTAGATACCTACTAGACTTTAAGAAAATTCACTGTGGTAGTAACTACTGGACAGTCTGCTTTTGGGTATATGCTGAGCAGCTACCATATATTTTGCAGGAAGCATTAGATGACTGGTATTTCTTAACATTACCTTCCAAGTAACTCTTTTCAGAATAAAGCTTTGCTGGTTTAACCAGATTCTGAAACTATTGCTCTTGTTTACACATGAGGCTCATCTCTGAGGAATCCTTTTTTTGACCCAGATTGGCAGAATACGACTGCTCAGAGTTTTTCCATTTGTTAAGCTTTAACCACCGTTCATTTGCAGAAAAAAATTTCAAGTGGCAATTCACTAAATGTGGTCTCATTTAATCTTTTTTTGTTCACTCTACCTCATGGCACCTTCCTCGTGGATTCTGTGGGTGGTGATGTTCCTGTCACACATGGTAACGCATTATGTTACCAGCACTCGCTCTCTGGCAGTGCCAAAGTCAAGCCTTTTGATCCAAAGGTCACTTGCAAGCAAGAATGCCTCATTACAACTTTCCAGGAGGTTTACTTTGTTTCTGAAAGTTTTGAAGAAGCAAAGGAAAAGATGAGGTACGGATTTTTTTCCTCTGTTTTATAAAAACAGATTTGATTTCACATGTCTCTCAGTAGCAGCACCAAACCCTTTATTCTTATCACGGTTTTACAATTACCTTTCATGGGGTTGGAAAGCTGAGATTAGTATTTTCTCGATCTCCCATGTACTGGGTGGGAAAGATGATGAGCTACTTGAAACTTATAACTATCCTTAAGAAAGTAGTTTAGAAAAATGTTTATTGATAATGACTATGTACAAAGGATGAATTTGCATTTCGTTTATAACTCTCCCCTCCTTTTTTTTTTTTTTTTTTTTTTTTTTTTTTTTTTTTTACTTGAATAGAGAGTTTGCAAAAACCATCAAGCGCCCATTTGGTGTGAAATACAATCCATATACTCAAAGTGTACAGATCCTGAAGGACATGAAGAGCATTGCCAGTGTGGTAAATGAGCTACGCCATGAGCTGGACATTGTCAGTGATGCCCTCAGCAAGATGGGCAAGCAGCTGGAAGTTTAACACCCCTGTCAGCAGTGTGGTGCACTTGGCAACTCACTTTTCCCTACTGATTTCTTTATAGAAATGTAATGTGTTGTATGCAGAACTCTCTCCTTTACAGATGGAAGAGTGAATTGCCCATGAGGATAATAACTTTATCGTGTTTCTTTGTGTAAAATCCCTTACAGAATGTATTCCCCCATCCCCTCAGTTAAAAAAAGCCTGGAGCTGCCATTGAAAATCTAGTGGGGGAGTAGAGAAATTGCTAGACTGGAGCAAAAGTGTGGTCTGTGGATCAGGGCTGGAATCAGATGCTGCAGAAGGTGGTTTATGAGGCAATAATGGAATAATTCACCACAGGGAAATGTCTATTTCTGACTCTAGTAGTCTACGCTACTGATTTTACAGCATTGCAGACTTTATAGCGTAGAAGCTATAGTAATCAGTGCTTCTAAGTCTGTGCTTCTAAGTCTGTGCTACTAAGTTTAAAACTCAAATGATTACAATGCAGGTGTCAGGACACAAATAGCTGGAGGTTCACCATGATAAAATTGAGGAGTCAAATCTGGCTTTCAAAGGGATCATTCTTGACCCCAAAGAATTGCAAATGTGTTTGTCATGTTTCTAGTATAAGGCAGAGATACAGAAATCATAATTCTGTTTATTTTAAAAGATTTGCTATCGGCTCAGAGGCTCAAGCTTTTTGTTGCTGTCCAGGTTACTGCACCTGAAGGAAGACCTTTCCTTACAGAAATACCATTTGCATTTTTCCTGATTTAATTTATTTAACAAAAAATATAGCAAGCCATTGGGTACTGACTTAGCATAAAGCCTAAAACCATTTCCAAATTACAATTTAATATTCCAAATAGTTTCATCAGTTCTAAAAGAACACCGGAGTTTAAAATAACAGCCGGAGTTCATAGTCTAGTCTGCTTTTTGTAAGAGTAAGTATCCTATTAATTGCTTGGTCACTTTATTAAGTTGTACAAACTGCATTTTGTTTCTTCTTTACTAGGCCTGAACACCTTCATTCCCTATCAAGCAAATAAGTGAAAAGCTCAAGTGGTTCACGGGAATTCTATGGCTATGAATGCAACATACTACCTTGTAGCATAAAGTGTAAAAGTGTATTTAATTCTAAAGCTCACTTTACAAGCGGTGGGAAGCAGTGTCCTGCTGAATTGTCTGTACCACATTGTAGCAAACTTCCCAGGTTTCAGGGCTCCACAGTTTCAGCATCCCACGCAGCTGCACAAAGCTGTGTCCACTGTGGTTTCTGCTGACACTGGCGATGAAATGAACGTGTCTACAGGAGATGACACATTTGAATGGAAGGTCTGTGATGTGCAGGGTGTATTTAATACCATCCTAGATACTGATTCTTCACAGGTAGAATTATCAGGAAATTCAGAATTTGCAGCTGTGGAGGGTCACTGAAAAAAATGGACTGAAATCTTAAATACACTGGAGATGCTAGTCCCAGGTTTTGAGAACTTGAAAGGAAATCAGTTTGAGTTTCATATGCTTCCTACTAGGCCACATCTGCTCCATAAGCAATCGTTGGCCCAATCTTTCCAAGTATATTTACTGTTTAAATCTAGTCTAGATCTTTTTTGCTGTGACTATTAACCCACTATAACTTTTTTTTTTTTAAAGGACTTCTAAGACATAGAAATACGGTCTACAATATTTATGGCTTACATTATGCTTTAAAATATATTTTAGGAGCTTTGTCTTTCTAAAGAAGAAACCTTATTAGTGAGTAGTAAGGGAGGTTCTACTTTGTCTGCTTCTGTGTTAACAGTTAATATTCAGATGCATTTTAAAATACGTTGGGATTATTATGTTGTTGGAACATACATAGATCTGCGTTACTTCCAATCTTTGTCTGAACTACGTATACATTTGAAGTAGGAATCCTTATACTTGGTAAATTAGCACCTATTTTGAATACATTGGAAAACCAGCAATTGTGTCTTTATTTGCACTTGTGTAGCAAAAAATTAAGTAAGCTGCTGAAAGTAATACAGAGAAGATGCATTTCCAACGCGTATGTTTGGCTTCGTGCACCCAAACCTTCTGGCTATGTAGAACAGTAATAATTTAAATATTTTAAACTATTGTGGAAGCTCTGAATGCCAGTGAAATAAACGACTCGGTAATTATTAAAAGCAAATTCCCGCTTTACTTCCGCACCGTAGCCATAAAGAGAAATCGCTGCCGTCCGACCAGGGGTTCACCTGGTCTGTAGGGGGGCTCAGGCAGGCCGCAAGTGACCTAGTTCCGTGCGGACTGCGGGTGTTGAGTCAAGGGGTCACTTGGTTCCCCCGCACTTTTCCAAGGCTTTCTCTTGTGTGTCTGGGGGGGCTGAGCGCGGAGGACGGGACCCGGCGGGAGCTCCCCCGCCACCCGCGGGCGCTGGGTGCTGGCAGCGGCGGCCGGAGCCGCCGGAGCGCTC